TTAACTACAGCCTGTCTGTGTGTGCAGGAATGGCCACTATTTGCAACATGGGAGCAGAAATCGGGGCAACAACCTCCGTGTTTCCTTACAATCACCGCATGAGGACCTACCTGAAGAAGACTGGACGTGCAGGTGTGTGCTGAGGTCACAGCTGATGTGTTGGCGTCCTTTTTAAATACGTTCATAATCACCTAGAGAGTGATGGAGACCTGCAGAGTTGTGTCATTTTAAACTCTACTCATTGATTCCATCTCCTCGTGTCTGTTCTCAGAGATCGCCGCTGTGGCTGATGAATACTCGGATTTGTTGGTACCGGATCAAGGCTGCGAGTATGACCAGATCATCGAGCTCAATCTGGACGAGGTGCGTCCCGTTTTAAGTTGAAACAGAATGCATGTAAAAGATGGCTATAGCCACTGTGACTTCACCCAGTAAATTGTATGTATTTAAAGAAGTTTGACCATCATGATGTTGGACACTAAACACACTGTTGACTCGTATTAGCTGATTTGAGGCCTAGTAGATAACTGCTGACCTAGTTGGCACCTACCCATCACTCAAAGAGGCCACAGGCTTAATAATTGACCCTCTTAGGCTTAATACAGTTTTCAGACATGCTTTTTGTTGTTGTTGTTTTTCTGTATTACTGTCAAGTTACATTATCACAGAAGGGTCTGCTTTGTTGTCATTAGAGTGCTGTCACAGCTTTTCAGTATATCTCTAATTACCTTCTGCACCAACACAACTGATCATGACTGTAATAAATCAGAAGAGTGCAAGTGAGAGATGCATGTAATGATGAAGTTTGTGTGGTCCATTCAGCATTGTGCTGTTTGTTCGTGTAGCTGAAGCCCCACATTAATGGACCGTTCACTCCTGACCTGGCTCACCCAGTGTCTGAAGTCGGTGCTGCGGCTCAAAAGAACGGCTGGCCGCTTGAGGTGAAAGTTGGTACGTAACTCTCCACTGATGAATAAGCTTCAGGGCTTTGTTTGTACTTCATGTGATTATGGACTTCTAATTACAGAGCTCCTTTAGCAGTTACATAAAGCTACATTTAGGTGCCTGCTTATTTAGAAGGAGACGTGCATGTTTTGAATTGGGGGATTTTTACAGTGGACGAAGTTATAAAGTTGGGGGTTTTTTTTTGTTTTTTTTAAAGGTCTGATCGGCAGCTGCACTAACTCCAGCTACGAGGACATGGGTCGCGCCGCCTCTGTGGCCAAACAGGCTTTGGATAAAGGCCTGAAGTGTAAAGCACAGTTCACAGTCACCCCCGGCTCAGAGCAGATTCGTGCCACCATTGAGAGAGATGGATATGTGAGTGTCGGCACACGGAAGCAGCGGAGAGTTGCACTTTCATTACAGTAACAACAGTCTAAAGCAGTCTAAATTTAACCCTTTTTTTGTTTGTTTTTGTTTTCCTGCAGTCAAAGATCCTTGGAGATGTTGGAGGTGTGGTCCTTGCAAATGCATGCGGACCCTGCATTGGACAGTGGGACAGGTAGATGCTCTGTCTCAAAGTGTTTGACTGCTTTGACTCCATACCGAAAAAAATGTGTCTTAACTAGTGCCGTCAGCGTTAATCTCGTTAAAAGGACGTTAATGCCATAACTGCATTAACGCAGCAAATCTCAGTTAGCGAGTTAGCGTGGATCGCCCCGTGCGTGGGGCTGCACGGCGTCAACGCGTTAGCGCGGTTAGCTCGTTAATGTGTTAGTGCCGTCCAGCTCCACGCACGGGGCGATCCGCACTAACTTGCTAAATGAGATTTGCTGTGTTAATGCAGTTATGGCATTAACGTCATTTTAACAAGATTAACGCTGACAGCACTAATCTTAACATATTAAAACACTGCTTCTATTAGCTAGCTAAAGACATTCTGTCTTCCCGTTCGGTGGGCTTTGGTTTTAGAGTGGCTGTTGCTCTGTGGAGCCTTGACTTGGAAAAGTGCAATCTTTTTGTTTGTTTCAGGCGCGATGTGAAAAAGGGAGAGAAGAACACCATCGTCACCTCCTACAACAGAAACTTCACTGCCAGGAACGACGCTAACCCCGCAACGCACGCGTTTGTTACCTCCCCCGAGGTAAACCCACAGCAAATCAGCCCACACTACACACAAGCCTCCTTTTCACAGCTTAAAGCTTCCCCTCTCCTCTCGTCCATCAGATCGTTACTGCTCTTGCAATCGCTGGCACATTAAACTTCAACCCTGAGACAGATTACCTTACAACCCCAAGCGGGGAGAAGTTCAAACTGGAGCCCCCAAATGGAGATGAACTCCCATCCAGGGACTTTGACCCTGGCCAGGACACCTACCAGCACCCTCCTGCTGATGGCAGCAGCCTCAAGGTGGACGTCAACCCTCAGAGCAACCGCCTGCAGCTGTTGGAGCCCTTTGACAAGTGGCACAGAAACGATCTGGAGAACATGCAGGTCCTCATCAAGGTGAGGGTCCTGAAAGGGCATTGGTCTGTCAGATTTGACCCTCAAATTCTGATCAGAGTCAAAATGTTTATACACTGGGGTCTGTCTGTCTGTGCAGGTGAAGGGAAAATGCACCACAGACCACATCAGCGCCGCAGGACCTTGGCTGAAGTTCCGCGGTCACCTCGATAACATTTCCAACAACATGCTGATCGGTGCGGTCAACAGCGAGAACGATGCTGTCAACAAGATCAAGAATCACCTGACAGGAGAGTATGGAGGAGTCCCTGACGTGGCCCGTCACTACAAGGTAAAGACCAGAAGGAATCACTGAGTCTCATTTAAAACCAGAAATCTCTTCTGACATGCTTTCTGTCATGTTGCGTGAAGGCCAACGGCATTTCCTGGGTTGTGGTTGGTGACGACAACTACGGTGAGGGCTCGAGCCGAGAGCATGCTGCACTGGAGCCCAGGCATCTGGGAGGGAGAGCTATAATTGTCAAGAGCTTCGCCAGAATCCACGGTACTGCATAAACACGAGATGAGCAGAGGAATCGTAGATAGTAGCGTCACTTAATTCGCACCTCAACCTGATTTTGTCATATCCTCAGAAACAAATCTCAAGAAGCAGGGCCTGCTCCCCCTGACCTTCAACAACCCATCAGACTATGACAAGATCCGCCCCGACGACAAGATCTCCATCAGAGGACTTAAAAGCTTCGCTCCAGGAAAGGTGAGCGGGTGAAGAAATACTGAAAAAGCAGTCATAAACACGACTGATATTCTTGTTAACAATCATGTCTTCTCCTTTTTTCTTTTTCCCATCCTTGGCAGCCTCTGACCGCAGTCTTAAAACACAGCGACGGCACTGAGGAGACCCTGCAGCTCAACCACAGCTTCAACGAGACACAGATCCAATGGTTCCAGGCGGGCTCCGCCCTCAACAGGATGAAGGAGATGCAGCACTGAGAATGAGGAAGATGATTGTCAGAGGGGGGGGAACCGTGGTGAAGATTGTGAAGAATAAGGAGGATAAAGTATAATGATTATTTCATCGTCAGCATTATCTTACAGTTCTGGCTGATTTAATGTGTCTGTATGCCTGTAAGAGTTAAACGTAGAGCCAAGTGTGAAGCTAATGTTCACCGTGGAACAGTTTGCTCCGATGTTAAAATTTAATTCATCAGTACAGAGTTATTGTAAGCAGCCATGTTTCAGTGAATCATTGATAACCGGTTAGAGATTCTGTTATAACAAAAAAACGAGGGACACACTCGCACACTTTGACACACTAATCAGTGACATAATACCCTGCAAGCTGATGCTCTGCTAGTGCGTTTGCAGTGTAGAGGGCAATCACCTTATTGCTTTAGGATTGTGTTGACCTCTGCATGGCAATGTTTGGCTTCATCCAAATTGTCCCAGTGTCATTCCAAAGTTCACCCTAAACAGCTAAAAGCTGCCGTGCATTGCATGTCTAAGCCCATTTAGTCCATTTAGTGACGGTCAAAATCCAAATGTTGTTAAGCCATATTGCACGTATTTATTCCCCCTGAAGTTTAGCTCGTCTGCCCCCTGGTGGCCACGAGGATGTGGTTTGCTGCGTAGCAGGTCTAGCATCTTCATATAAATGCCCACTTTAACACCAAGTTTGACATCTTTTCCTTTATCTTGGAATTTGATCTAGGGCATTCTGGGAAACTTAGCTTAGCTGCAACATGTGGGACGCACTGAACATCAAATTACTGTGTATCTAACTGTGAGAGGGGGTCCTCTGTCTGGTTGTACTTCATTACAGTACATATTCATTTTAAGACCCAAAAGACGGTGTTACATTTCATGCTGTATTTAAAAACAAACAAACAAACAAAAACAACAAACCACATGCTTTAATGCTGCTCTTGGATACAGTGACTGGCACTCTTTTTTTTCTTTCCTTGCTAATATCACAACCACTATCCCTAAACTGTTCCCAGTCAGTCCTTGTGTCTTTACAAGATCAAGCACTTCAGCCGACCCACTCCCAGTTATTTATGTGTTACTTATTTATTTTTTTTCTGCAGACTTACCTGCACCTCCATAAAAGCACAGGGTTAACTTGGACCTCTTCAAACCTATATCGTCAGGTTTTTGGTTTAATTTTGTTTTGTTTTTTTGGAGGGCTTTGATTTGCTGCTTTTTTTTTTTTTTTTTTTTTTTACTCCACCAATAAATACGATGGCATTGTTGGGGAAATGCTTAAAATAATTGTGACCAGAGTTTTAGAAAACATGTTAATGAGGACACTCATAAGAAACCCAGACCAGTGATCTGTGAGGGTGTCAGTTTAATTAAAGGTCCCTCTGAAACCTTCACATGACAGAGTCTAATGCTTTTGCAAACTTCCTGGTACCCGATGAAGCTCACATCAGGTGAAGGATTTAACCCCCTCCCGATTCTAAACCAGTGTATGTCAAATGTCCGCTTTAGTGTGCTTTCTGTGTTCTCTTCCTCACAAATGATCTTTTCTGTATAATAGAAAGGCAGTGGGTTGTACAAACAATAAAAATTCACAGATCTCACTTATTTGCCTGTGTTCTAGTGATGTGACTTCATATGAGCTGATTTCTTCTTTTCTCCCTCTTAATAAATGTTTTAAAAAAACATCCTCACAATATATTTCACACATTTGGAAATAAACAGTAGCCTACAGAAAGCGAGGTTGGTCTTTGATTTCTGATATTCTGGATTGATTGAAGACCTTTAGATTCCTAAAGTTAAAAAATCTGTAAATAGTGGTGTAGTCAGATGGGTGTGGATCTGGGGGGAATGTGACATATTTTTACACACGACTAACACTATGGTAACCTCATTTTTTATTTTTATTTTTTTAAATAAATCCTCTGGTCCTTTTCCTCTAAGCCAATCAGTTGAAAAACATGTTTGCAGCTATTTTAAACAAAGTGTCAGTTCTGAAATGTCACAGAAACACGGGATGGCTATAAAGGCCCGGAAACGATTTTCAGGGAGGAAATTTTTAGTTACAAGACAGTGAAGATGTGTAACTGCAAAAATACAGGCTGCAGCTGTAAAGAAATTTAAATACATATTTAATTCCTGAGATACTGTAATATAAGAAAAATAAGTGAACACTGTCAATTTCTCTCTATGTAATAAAGAACAGCTGCTGTAGTAAATGATTTGGAATGAAGGGAGCTTTAATAATGACCAAATTTCATCCATAATTTAATATTAAAGTGCAAACTCCAATGCTTTAATGAATTTGGGTTGTACAGTTAACAAAAAGAATCGTTTGCAGGTGCAGCTGCGCAATATAAGAGAACCCCAGCAAGCCTTTTTTTTAAGCAAGTGACTGGCGACCGTGGGGAAGAAGAACCCCCTTTTCTTAAGAGGAAGAGACCTCTGGAAGGTTGAGGAGTGAGAGGGGAAAAGAAGAGCACAGGAGAGTAAACAGGACACAAATTATTGCAAAGAATGAATGAGAGGAAGGTCTAAACTCATGTCTTGTTATCAGACACAGGATAGCTTTCAGTCACCTGAGACATGCGAGCCAAGCGGTCCAGTTAAACTAGCTTTTGATGGAAAGCTGTCAAAGAGGTGCCCATGACCACTAATGAAATTGTGTCTTATTATTAAAACAAAGCTGACATGACTTTTAATTTTCAAGGACACTCAAGCACAGGCCTGTGACTCATATAAAACCATCTGTCTCACACTATTAAAGCACCAGAGACTGCTAAAACATTAAAAAACACGCTTCCCTCCGCGCAGAGAACAAAGAGTGGGGTGTAGGATAGGGAAGCCGTTGTTTTCACCACCAACCCCCCCACCTCCTGCACCCCCGCCCCATCTCTGCTGCCTCCTTTTCATTTGCTGCTGCTTTTTTTCTCTCCTCCTCCCATCCCACCCGTGTGCGCCGCGTCCATACCAAGATCCACTGACTTATCCGCCACATGTCCCCGCAGATTCAACTTCATAATTGTCTTACGCCACATTAAAGGACGGGGACGTGTTGACCTGACAGCTGATCGGCGCTTTTACAGTAAGTAATCGTTGGATCGATCTGGCTGATGGAGTGATTTACGCATCCAGCCCTCCTCTTCTCTGCGTCCGGCCGACGGCGGCGGTTTCTGGCAGTGTTGTGTTTAAATCTCTGCTTTCTAACCCAGAGCTAACATTTACTATAGTCTTCTTCTTCTTTTGTTCTTCCTCTGCGTGTTAGTGTATGTTAGGTGTGGGGTTTTTCTCGCCGTTAGTGGAGCCTTCTTGTCTCAGGCTGCCACTGTGTGAGAATGTTCTGGAAACAAGCCGCCTGAAGGGCGCTTATTTGCTGCTGAATTATTCAGACTCCTCAGACACACAAATGATACCATAAAATCATTTGGGCGGTTTGTCTCTTTGAAAGGATGATGTAAAGTTTAAAGACAGGCTCTGTGTATGTGTGTGTGTGTGTGTGTGTGTGGGGGGGGGAGCTGACGTGTGTCCCATACTGATGCAGAGGACCACAGACGGCCACAGTTTCACAGGCAGGGAGGTGCTTTCTTTTTGGCCTTTTGTCTGTCTCCTCGGAGCTTTTGTAGCCCCCTTCCTTCCTCTAGATCAGCCTTCACCCCTCCTGGTTAAAATGTTTGCTCTGACGGTGCAGACTCATTAGACAAATCCATTTTAGTGGCCTACTCTCAGCCTAATATATGGGCCAATGACAGAGGAAGCTGTGCCTGTCAAGTTTCTGAATTATTCAGGCTACATTTTTGTGCTTTGTCATCCATCAGTCATGCCATCAGTCCTGTCCTCTGTGCCGCCGTGATGACAGATGCGTGTGTTCGTCACCATCACTGCATCAGCTCTGTCTATCCAACAGGATCCCCAGCAGAGCCCTCGCTCAGCAGCCATTTGCAGTGTTTTTCTTTAGAAAGTCAGAGATCAGAAGCACTGCTGTGAGGATGCTGTGGACTTGAAATCCTTTAATATTCACAGAAACCAGCACGAACCTTTAGAGCTACTCTTAGGCACAATTTGGCTTTTTCAAATCATCTTTAAAGCTCGTTTGGTGATTAAATTTCTAATATAACCATTTCATATTTCACTACATATATTGTCTATTTCACAATTACTTGGTCGGGGCTTACCAACCAGTGACATGGTGTCATGTCATCAGCATCTAAGAGGATGGAAGCCTTGCTGAGGTTTCAGCGAACCATATATTAAACAGAGGTAATTAGTTGCCTCAGGTGTGGGAGTACTGTCACTTCTTTTGTCCTCCACTTGTTCAATTTTCTCCCTTTTTACATAGATGTTGATATATGCCAAGACTTTCACCCCAGTACTGCAAAAGTACTATTTTATGCTTGTGAGCAATAGTTCTTGAGGATTTCTGAAGGTCTTTCAAAAGTTTTCCTTGGACTTTGAACCAGTGTCGTATCTACATATAACAGGCAACTTAGGAAATACCATTTTAAATGAAATAAGAGCTTTGACTGTCTTTCAGGAAACCTGGAGAACTATTCCTGAAGCTGCCTCGGAGAGTTCAGAGTGTGAAGAATAAAGATGGTCTCAAAAATCCCAGCAACATAAGCTCCTCCTGTAGCTTCTATTGATATTTCTGAAACTTGTATTCATTGTAATACAGCAGCCCAGTTGTTAACCTCTGCCTCAGGATCCTGTGGTCTAGTTCAAAGATGGCGTCAATCCCACTACACATGACTATATTTAGACTGAGAGTAAGAAACAGAAAGGGTGATATTGGATGGAGCCTGTGGTATTCAGTCTGGCACACATGCGTCTCATCAGTCTTTGTCAAACATTCAGCCTGCAAGCCTCAGTGATTCACTGGGAGGTGCTTGCTGATGGTCCCAGTAACACACCCGCCCGCATCTGCGTTTGTTTGATAAACCAGGTTTTAGCGTTAGCCGTTTAACCTCTGTTGAGCCGTTTGTTTCATGAGCTTGCTAATATGGCATTCATCATCTAGTGGCTCTGAAACGAAGCAGCTCGTTGTTTGAATGCAGACCAATCCTGTAATGGATGTCAGTCTGGAAGAGTGCGGCACTTTAATCTAATAATATGTGATGAGGTGGCCTTCCAGGAGAGCTTTGATATTTACATCATAATGGGACCTTTAGGCTTTATTGGTTTAAGAGGTGATGTTTGTTTTCCATAGCCTGAAGGAATACTAAGCCTTTCCAGTTTATCAAACAATTTTAGAGTCACTGAGTTTGGAGATGCTATACAACAATACATGTATGCTAATGTTTATGCATTTTCTAAATTCTTATTGGGGTCATGATGTTTGTAGTGCAACAATGTGAGTAAAGGAAAGCTTTAAAGAACACATTGCAGTTTCATTAAAGTTAAGAAAAACAGACTCCAGGCACATAATGACACTATATAAATTAAACTGAGCTGTATTTGTAGCAACACTAGCCAAAACAACTGAAAATGTGTCCATTTATCAGTATTTTTTACAAAATTTTTATTACAAAAAAAGCATTGTGCGTATTTGGACATACTGGGTTTCTCTGTTGGTTGTGACTTTTATTCCTCACCTTTGTGCCGATGACAAAGCCGTATTCTCTTTCTGGCATTAACCCTTTGTCTTGTTCCTTCACTTTAGGGTTTGCTCCACTCCTTCACCTGTAAGAGCTCTCCTCTGAAAAGCCTCCTCTCCCTCACCAACGCTTGTGCCATGCAGGAGGTGTGAACCCTCCTCCTTCTCTTTCTTTGCAAACCGCTGGAGGAAACCCAAAAAGAGAGCAAAAGAAAACCCAGACTCTAACAAGTCACGATGTCAGACCCTGACCCCTCTTTGCCGACAGTCCCCCCACTGCCCCTCACTTCTCCGCGCACTCCCTTGCAGCTCTCCTTTCCCTTCCTGAGGGAGGGCAGCCGGGTTTGGGAGAAGGAGAGGAAACCACCACAGCCCGGAGAGCTGCCTAGCCCACTGCCTACTAAACGCACTCGCACATACTCAGCGTGAGTACAAATAGCGCTATTGGTGCTCTCTCTCTGTTTAGTTTTTTTTTGACTAATGCTTTTGTAAAATAATTATGCTGTTTATTTAAAATGCACTGTCTCCTTTTCCTCTTTGCTTCTATCTCTCTTCCTCTACAGGACAGTGCGAGCTAAATCAGGTCCTGTATTTAAAGGGGTGTGTAAAAACTTCTCCAGGTCTCAGGGTCATGGATTCATACGGCCTTCCCACGGAGGAGAAGACATCTTTGTCCACATCTCTGAGTGAGTGGCCGCACTGAAATGTCCTGGTATCAAAGTTTTCTTTGGACTCACAGTGCAGTCTATTTAACATGCACAGATCAGCAGCAAGTAAATGTGGGTTACACAGAAACTACTAAAACTTTACAGTATTTATTTTTTGACTGTGTAATTTCTCTCTTTTTTTATTTATGTATTTTTTTAATGATTGGAGTCAGCTGTGAAGTAGATGGCAATTGTACACTGTATATAAAAGATGGACATAGCCTCTGGGATTGAAAATGGTTTAAGCCTGCATTCTTTCTAACAGCCAGCAGAGGGAGACTTCTCCGGCTGTAAAAGCACATCTGACTGTAAATAAGATGTTAACCTAACTCATTTAATTTATGACCTAATAAACACTTTTCTCATAAGTTTATATTCATAATTGCCACCTTCAGGACTTATTTGGTAAAGCCATACATTCCTTTTTTAAATAAATTATGTTCCCTATTAGCGTAAACAAGATAATAAAGTAGACGTAGCTATGTGCACCAGAAGTAGAGCCCCAGAAATGTACGATTTTTAAGACAGACATTTGGTGAATTAAATAATCTGATATTCCGATATTGGGTTTTTTTTTCGTTCAGACTCACAAAACAGAAACAGAATTCGCTAACATTTGTTATATGTTGTTATTTACTTATTTACACTCTGCCCATCTCTACTCAGATCAGGAAATTGTAGAGTGGCCTCTAGTGGACAAACTATACAACATCACATTAGCACTCACTTAAGGGTTTATCTTTTGTCTCTTTTTCACTTTTTATTCTTCATAACAAAAGGTGTAATAAATTATTTTTCTTCATAATAAATTAATTTTTCTCTGTAAACACTGATACAAGTAGATCAAGACTGGCCAGCATCAACTTATAATATCTAACTGCCATTAAATCAATCAGGCTCTAACCTTAAATACTTGGTTCAAGGGTCAATAATGACAAGTAAGTTAGTCTGAATTTGAACATTTAACATCTCATATTCACGTTTATATTAACAGCAGTTGGAATCCCATGATCATCTTTTATATACAGTCTATATAGCACAGGTAGAGTCCTCCAGGTTTGGTGGAGATCAGTGGTAGAGAAATTTGAATGAAATCTGATCATTGTTTGTTAATCTACCAGAAATATTTCTAAAACTCAATTCTCATTGGCTGTTGTGCATGAACGTAGCAGCTTGGTCGGCGTGAAAACAAGTCCACAGATCTTGATTTTAGTTGCTTGATTTAAAGAAAGCACTCTGCAAAAATGTGAAAAAATGCTTTGTTTTTACTTTTTCTTTTATATTGTCTCTGTTTCCTGAACAGCATTGAGGGAGAGTACGTGCCTATGGAAGGAGACGAGGTTACGTACAAAGTGTGCCCCATCCCTCCCAAGAACCAGAAGATTCAGGCTGTCGACGTGGTGATCACCCACCTGAATCCAGGCTCAAAGCATGAGACCTGGTCAGGTCAGATCATCAGCTCCTAGACCAGGGATTTAAGTCTCAGATCTGCAAAGGCGAAGAGGGGTTTAGACTTAATTTCAGATTTTATGTTTTGGTAAGGGAAACGGTAGGATCAGGTCTGGGGCAGAGGGATCCGAGCTCGGTGTGCGGTGGGCAAACACTGGCCTGAGGTGATAGTGGTACAGAAAGTGAACTTCTAGATATAAAAGTTAGGGTTGGGAGTTAAGCTTTGAATGTATGTGTTTGAATGTTTTTATTTGGAGGCCATGATTTGATCATTTGTGTTTGAATATTTCTGTTGGGGGGGTTAAAGGGGTTCAGGGTTTGGTGCTAGCAATTTTACTTTGGGCTAGGGAACATATTTAAGTTGGGAAATAAGTGGTTGTAAAGGAAGTGTCTTTAATGAGTTGGATAAAAATGTACTAGGGGCCGAAATGCATTTTGAGCTAATGAAACAGTTCAACCATACAGACTCGCACTCTGAGTCTTTGGGAGCAGCTCAGAGGACGTATGTGTGTACTTCCAATTTTACATATTCACACTGTGTGCCACCACTGCCAAGGTTCATTAAAAAAGTCACACTGAAACATTCATTTTAGCCATAATGTCTATGTTTACAACCGCAGAGGAGGACGAAGAAGAAAGATTCAAAGGAAAAAACACTTAAAAAATGCCAAGATTTTCCAGGTTGTTTACTTTTCCCAAATGGGAGCTATGAGTATACTTTCACTAGTAACTTTTCCATATTTGCAATTCGCTCTTAATGCGTTTCGGCCTCAAGTGCTGTGAGAAGTTTCACGTGTTAGGAAGATGTTTCCTTCTAAACATTGTAGCGCTACAGTATTTTTTCTATTTGCAAGTGTAGAAATCCAGTATTATTGTAGCCAGCTCCTATGACGGTCTAAAGTTTTTGTGGTAGACAGTGGGCATGTGGGCCTGCTGCTGAAAAAACAGGCCAGAGGGTTTGGGGTTGGTGGAGGAAATGGTCAGAGGGTGAAGGAACGGGCAGAGGATGGAGTGATCATCTGTAGTTGTGCTCGAGCACAGATGCAGCTAGTTTCAATGTGGGTGTTATAAAGCACGTGTAAGGAGGATGATTGAGATTAATGTCAGCAGTTCTCACTTTGTGGGTCATCAGGTGACGTCAATGATCTTAAAGAAATAGTTTAACACTTTGGGAAACAGTTATTTGCCTTACAGATTATAGGACTGATTTCTCCTTCAGGTCAGGGTTTCCTACTCTCACGTTTCTGGCGTGTGACAAATGCTTTAACCTTCAGTCTCATGCTGCTGGAATGAATCTTATTTGAAATATAGAAAACACAAAAAAGCAAGCTTCTGAGTTTCTCTTTTATAGAAAAAAAAAAGTTTAAACTAAGCTTTCCGCACACAATACAAACTCTAAACATCAGGCTTTTTCCACTGTTTAGAACCAACACTGATCCAGAAACAGTGGAGAGTGCAAAAGATTGTTAATAATGTGCTTATGTTTACAAAGGCTTGCCAGCAAATGTAGCCTAATCTGTGCACAGGAATCTTTTTAGGACTCTTTGTCAAACTATATCAAATACTTGCATCCTTATCGGGCACAGGATCACCTGCAGCTGTGTTCCACAAAGTGAGAGAGTGGTTTCAGCTTCATTACAGCTAATAATAGCTTCAGACAGTGCGGTACTGAAAATGGACCATTAGAGCCTAACAGTGAATCACCAGTTAAACCATTTATTACATAGCTATTCTCAGACTGAGTCCTATGCTTCATTAAAAGTCTGGATTTCTGCTCAAATTCAGTGACCATTGTTAGCAGTAATAAGTGAAGTGATGTTTACTTTACCATGACCTCTAATCATTAAACTAAAAGAACGTGATAGCAGTTAGCCTAACAGCAATGAAAATATATTTTCCACATTATATTTTCTACTTTAGCTGATAATTTATGTGTGATAAATATGAAAATATAGCAAGCAGCCACAGCATAGTCTAGCATAGCTTAAGACCAGAAAAAGGGACAAGAGCTGGCATTTTTTTCAATTATCCTAAAACTTTAGGCTAAGCTAACCAGCTGCTACCTGATTATATAAACTTAGCACAAAACGTAAAAACATTTCTGTTTGATTATTGTTTCTTTATTGTAACAATGCTTCTTGACAATAAATCTCATACCAGCGGAAAGTCTGCTTATTTCCCCTTATATGGTACCACATTTATAAGGACAATGCTTTTGTGGGTTGAGCAGCAGAGTGAGTATGTGGCTTGCGCCCATGTAACATTTGCCAAATCTTCTCTGCCAATACCAAACAGTTTATTCTGCTATTGACTTTTGCTTGGTGTTGTATGTTGGATTGGATGATTGAAGTCTGAAGAAAAAAGACATATTAACAATTTAGTAGCATGTGGATGAACCGAACACAGGAAACTCAACTCTGCTGCTCAACCCATAAATGTACAAATGTAGTGTCATTAAAAGGGAAATAAACAGGACTTCTAAGTGTTTAAGATTTTTTGCATTGTCACAACAAAGAAATAATCAACCAAACACAAATTTCCTTACATTTTGTGCTGAGTTTATGTATATGTATGTATGTACGGAGCCGTGCTGATCTTTTTATGGAGCTCTCAGCATGTGAGTAGAAAAGCAAATTTCAGTAAATGTTGAACTATTTCTTGAAATCATTCTCTCAAGGCCTCCTGGAGGGTCAAGCTGAGGAGAATGTGTTGATTTTTTTGTTAAATTTAGATGGCAGGTTGAGCATTTGAGAATTTACTGTAGAAAATCTCATATGTCACGGCAAATGACTGTAGAAAAAAACAAAACAAAAGAGCAGCAAATTTATTTATTGACCTATTTATTTTCGTTTGTAACTAGGAGAACATCAGGCGTTTGGTAATTAAAAGCTGCATTTTCAAGTACTTGTGCAAAACTAAGCTTGTTTGAAAAACACTGCACACCTCACTCTTATGATACTACCCTGTCAAGATCCCTTTGCTACGGTCTATGTCGTTAACGAGAGGGAAAAAAACCCTTTTCTTAACACAAGTTTCTAATTTCTATGTAATCTTTGTCTAATTTTTAATATAACTGTGTGGCGTTCGAAATGACAAGCAAGTTTTGTTTGTTTTGGAAGTCAGCATGTTCTCTACGGTTTGTCGTAATCTTCATGTAGAATGTGTTAATTCATCATGCAGTAACACAGTCGGAGCCTTCACAGAGGTATCGTCAGATATCCTATGCATCTTTGATTCTTCTTCGTTTAATCATTATTTATTTATTGGGGGGGTTTTTTGGGCCGCAAGTGTGACTTAACATCATTGTAGCACACTACATCTGTGTAGTTTCTTTACTGTGGGAGAAAAGAGTTTGTGTTGGCGAGCACTTTTATTTTTGTCAAATCACTGTGACACCTGTCTTTTGTTGTTAAGAAAAAATTTCAATAAAACTTACAATGGTATTCACAAAAGTTGTTGTTATTGTGAGTTCCTCCATCCCTTACTGGTGCTGCTTCATAGCAGCACCAGTGAGTTGGTAGGTATTCTGAGAGCCGTCTTACTTTGACAGGGTTTTTGTTTTTTTTCTTTTGCTGTGAATCTTGGGAAATATTTTAATGCATTTGTGTTGTGCTTGTTTTATGTCCATATCCTGCCCATTAGAGGGCGTCCCAGCAGAAATAATCTCCTGGTTCATTACATAGCTGTGTGCGGTAGATGTAAGTAAGTAAGTATAAATTATTTATACATCACATTTCACAGATAAAAATCACAAAGTGCTTCACAATAAAACCAGAAATACAAATAAAATAACATAAAACAGTGGGAAAAAAAGTTAAAAGCTTGTTTGTATAGAAATGTCTTCAGCTGCTTTTTAAAGGAGTCAATGGAGTCTAGACAGTGTAAAGACAACGGCAGGGAGTTCCACAGCCTAGGTGCCAGTGCCTGAAAAGCCCGATCCCCACGTGTTTTGAACCTAGTACGTGGGACCAACAGTAGCCTCTGACCTGACGACCTAAGTGCTTAGGATGAAGCATGAGGTTTCAACAGGTCAGAGATATACTGGGGAGCTTCACCGTGCAGAGCTCTAAAAATTACAACTAAAATTTTAAAATGAACCCTAAAATTTACTGGCAACCAATGAAGAGAAGCCAAAACTCTTGTTTGTTCCGGTTATAAGTCTTGCCGCGGCATTCTGTACAGTCTGAAGGCGATTCAGAGCTGATTTGTTGAGACAAGTAAAACGACCATTACAATAATCCAAACGAGAAGAGATAAAAGCATGAATAATCATCTCAAGTTCTGCCTTTGACACCAGTAGTCTGAGTTTAGAAATGTTTCTTAGATGATAAAAACTGTTTCTCAAGAGACACTGGACTGTCAAATATAACGCCTAAGTTTCTGAGGCTCGACTGAAATGAAGGGTCTAAAGGACTGAGAGCAGGAGCTATAATCAAAGTTTCTGTTTTTATCTGCATTTAACTGGAGAAAATTATCATTTAGATCATGGGGGCGATCGTGGCTTACGAGTTGGCAGTTCGTCTTGTAATCGGAAGGTTGCCGGTTCGAGCCCCAGCTCGTTCGTTGTGTCCTTGGGCAAGACACTTCACCTACTGCCTACTGGTGATGGCCAAAGGGGCCTATGGTGCGATATGGCAGCTTCGCTCCTGTCAGTCTGCCCCAGGGCAGCTGTGGCTACACCTGTAGCCTCCATCAGTGTGTGAATGTGAGCGTGAATGAATAGTGGAATTGTAAAGCGCTTTGAGGTTCTCGAAAAGCACTATATAAATGCAATCCAAACTGGTTTGATTTCTGACACAATTATTTATAAAACTGAGATGTTTTGAAAGAACAGTATAACTGAATGTCATCAGCATAGAGATGATAAGAAATATTATTGTAACGTCTGATAATTTGGCCTAGAGGGAGTATATGCAGCAAAAAGAGAATCAGACCTAAAACAGATCCTTGAGGTACCCCAGAAGGCAGAACTGATGTTTCAGACAACACATGATTCATACAGACAGTAAAAGATCTCTCAGATAGATACGACATAAACCATTTTAAAACAACACCAGTAATCCTGAACAAGTCCTTCAGCCTATTTATCATGATGCTGTGATCAACAGTATCAAAAGCAGAGGTGAGATCCAAAATAACCAGAACGGTGTCTGCTGCCATCAGAATGTCACTAGACACTTTAAGTAAAGCGATTTCAGTGGAGTGCAATTTGCGGAAAACAGACTGGAAAATGTCCAGAAAGTGAAAGTCAAGGAGCAAAAAAGAAAGTAAGTGGGTTGAAACGTCACACAAACCCCAAAAATGGGAAAAACAGGAGATATTGGATCTCAAACAGACAGCAGACTTCTATTTACCACGATCGGTCACTTTCAACTGCTCGTTACTGCAAATATGTAATTGGGCAATCACGTGGGAGCAGTGATTAGTGCCTTTGAGCATGTAGATATGGTCAATATAAGCTGCTGACCCAGCAAAATGAGGAAGAAGGTGATTTCAGTGACTCTGAATGTGGCTTGTTCTTTGTCCCAGACGTGCTGGACAGACGACCAGCATTTGCAGCATTTATAGAGTAGAGTCTGAAAAAGAGAAAACATGAGCAGCAGTTCTCTGGCTGAAAATACCTTGTTGATGTGGCTAGAGGAGAATAGCCAGAGTGCTACAGATGGGCTACAGCTGCTGAAGAACGCTCCTGTCACCTAAGGATAGGAAACCGAGTCCACAATTTCACTGACACTGGACAACAGAAGAGAGACAAAATCTTCTCTGGACATTTTCAAAATTTAGTATAAACAACATGACAACATAGATCCACCTTGTCTTGTATCAGTGGTTCATGCTGGTGGTATTTTCTTGGCAAAGCTTGGGGCCCTTAGTACCAGCTGAGCATCATTTTACTGTTATAACATTGCATTAAAAGCTAATCTGAAGTTTTCATAGTTCCACATTACTGAGGTGGCTGTTATTTAATTAGTGGGTTTCATCAGTATCACAAATGCTTCCATAAAATATAATAAAGTCATAAAATAGAAATGCGCAAGGACAAGAACACAACACAAGTGCAATACTTGACTACATGCACCAAGTCAGAGTTGATTACTGATCAAGCAACACCACAGAGATAACCTGTAATTAGTTATCGATGCTTTTGGGCTTCCATCTTAATCAACAATGACAAGAAAGTTCATCTGTTAGACAACAACAGGGAGGGAGAAACGATGAGAAACAAAGTTGTGAGACATCTAAAACACATACTACACTGGGTAAGTTAGCAGCTCTTTCATAGTCAGCATTAGCGCAGTGTAGAACATGTGAAAAGCATCTGTGAATACGCCCAGTAAATATACAGTAGTACTTTGGGATGAAGCTGAAAGCGAGTGAAGCAGAAGATGCTCCAGTTATAAAGAAAAATCAGTAAAATTGATTTTTAAAAAATGTAGGCAGGAAATGAGCAGCAGAAAGAAGAGGACTTTGGTCAGATTCATAAGTACTATGTTTGTTTAGTTCAAATGTGATGTTTACACTGAACTGTCTTTAAATCCTGAACACTGCAGCCACATGTCATCCAGCAGAGAGCGGTTTTATGGGAATTCAGCAGCGCCACATGTGATTACTGTGATTAGGGCCAAACAGCAGATCAGAACATGAATCATGAGCTGTGAAATCAACAACCAAACAAAATCAGTGAAGATGCCTGGATGTAAAACAGGAACTGTTTCAATGAAATTAAAAATAAAATTAACTTTGTCAATGATCCCAGAATTTTCCTCAGCTGCTTACAGCTTGTAGTTGTGGAGAAAACCTAAGTGTAAAAGAATAACATAGTTATTGCATCGCTAATCATTAGTTTATTAGTATATTATTACCATTATCAAACGTTACTGCCAAGGTCAGGTTGCACTAATGTTTATGTTGAAAGGAAGTAAAAAGGTGGGTTTTTTGTTCACATGCTGATCGTTTTGACTGTGCGTGTTACTGTGGAGCTGCTCAGACCATTAAACATGAGAGTTAACTGACTGTGTGTATTTATGTTAATTAAGGTGAAGAGGTAGTGCTAACTGAGAGAGGGGACTCTCAGTTTATAGTTGTCACCGGTGAACTGAATCATCAGCGTATGTGTGGTTTCACAGCCAAGCCATCTTATCTGGTATTGGTTTTATGGCCTGAACAACCTTTGATCTTCTCTTTTTTCCCCCCTTTCTTTGCCGTCCTTTCCAGACAGGAGTGAATCAGACGTCTATAAGCTGTGCGTTTGGCTCTGTCTGTGGCACGTAGGCCAGTACAGCTATGCCAAAAGAGTTAAAAGACCACAGAAGACTGCTAAAGTGGACGATTACAGAAATATTACCTCGATTAAGAAAAAACCCTTCAAAAAAAGTCTGTCAAATATAAAGCCAAGGGCAGAACTGGGCTGGCAAAGACTCCAATCTGGCTCAACTGGAGAGCTTTAGAAGATGAAGGAAGAATAAATATTGGACTACATTTTTATAAGTTTTATAGCTTTAACTTTACTGATAAAAGTGTCCCATGTGGCCATTGACGCCTTATTCTTTGCTTAAATTAAGATATCTCAAGGATTAATCTTTTTTTTTCTGGGCCGTTTTCCTTTTTGCCAATTGAACTGTATTTCTGCACAAAACAATTTCATGGTACGATTCTCCATTAAATTAAATTTGTGAGTGTAAGACTATCAACAAACTTACAACCAAGCCATGCTCTGCGTGTTTGCTTTAAGCTTTAATTTATGCAGGCCATGACACAGCGCTGACAAGGTTATATGGCCTGCGTCTGTGTCTTTAAAGGTTGTATATTAACATGGTGACATAGAAAGAACAGGTGAGTAGCGCTTAGAGGAAAGTTGAAAGAGGAGAAGACTTTCGCACAGGATTTATTTTTTCTTCAAAGCCTTGGTGGATCAGCTTTAATCAAGGCGATCATAAGTTAAGAGTTTTCCGAGTGTTTTGGTGACTTTACTGAACTGGATTCAGGATCGGTGGATACCATGGACCCTCTTTAACGGCTAAAAAACAGAAGCACTCACCTCGGAGCTGAGAATGGGCTCGGGAAGCTGGTTACTGTGTTTGTTCATCTTTGGAATTCTTGTGGCATCGTGTCCTGGTGTTGGACAATGTGGGAGTGGGATTACAATCAACGTTATACTGTTGGATGATGAGGACTCTCCCTGGAGCCTCCAGTATGTGGAAGGAGAAATACTGAAGGCCATAGAGAAAGATTCAGCCATTAATGCTGCCCAGGGTAATGAAATTAAAAACTAAAACAAAAAACAAACAAACCACATGACAAATCCGCACAAAATCAGACCTTTTGATCTCTCGCAACAGCACTCTCTATATACAGCATGTATATTGGTACACTCATGTTTATAGATATTGATAATTTAACACATATGTCACTGACTATTATTGTTAATTTATATTTACTGCTTTGCATACTGTTCCTATTTTCAGATTTTCATGTTGCTTTTCCCAAAAGTAACAATTTTAAAGCTGTTTTAGGAATTATTCAGGGATTTCACTATTAAAGACTAAAAAAGTATACAAGAAAAGTAAAGCTGCTACTGTTAACAGATATTCTGTAGTTAGTTTCATAAACTAGCAGATTAAAGATCGTTATCCTATTAATTACAAGGAAGCTACCTGCAATGCTTATTAGCTTACTAGCATAAAACGCTTGTTCTACTAAGCTAGGATACTTATCTTATACTAGTTTAGCCTGACTTTTGGTCAACATGACAACATACAGTTTGGTGTTAGTTTTGACTCACCCACAGTCTGCAATGATGCCATTATGCAAAAAGTATCGACACCTATTATTTAAGATAATTAAACATAAAAGGTTTTTTTTGGCTAGCAGGAATTTTTTATCTAGCCAAGTTTTTATTAAGTGGCTGTTAGGAAAGCCCTGTAGGGTTTATTTCTAAGCATTATCAATAAAACTTAAACAGAATGTCCCAGTTTATGACACAGGTAATCAAAAGTAGTTGTCTTGTTTGCCAGCTGAAATTTGTTGGTGTTTTTTTTTTTATTAGCAACTATGATTTTTCAGCTGTAGCTAGCTGTTTAAGCTTACATGGTTCTGTGTCTTTTACTGTTGTGGAGTGTAAACTTCCCCAAATTAATAGATTTTACATATATGGTAGAATTCAGGGCCTACTTCCTCCACACACGCGCAAACACACACACACACACACACACACACACACACATTTTATTTCTCTTTAAAACAAATCTAATATTCACATACACACTGCAGTTCAAAATGGAGAGAAAGTCAAAACTAACATCTGGAACTTTCTTTCTTTCCACACACCCAAGATCCAGCTGTGACTTTTAACCTAACTGCGAATTTCAGTGGGTTTGACACAACCTTATACTGGCACCGAGGCTGCCGGAGCAGTTCATGTGAAGCAGTTGCAGAGCTAAACAACCTGACGGTAAGTAGCTACAGTTTTATATTAAAAAATAGAAAAAAAAATCAGCATGTTGGATGCACATATACCTGAGATCTTGCTTCCACAGGACATTCATTTATGGGTTTATGCACCTTTTAGTTCGTAGACCTGCTCTCCTCATTAATGCCATAGACACCTTTTTTGTGCAAGACCACAAATCAAAATAAGACTATGCCAGTCTCAGTAAATCTCTGTAAAAACTTAACAGAATCACTGCTAAGCCAACAAAAACTATTATTTCACTTCCTTTCTGAACACCCCAGTTTTCCTGCAACTACTGTCAAAGACATGCCTTGCTTGGCCTGCTGGTATTTGCTGTCTACTGCCGAAGTCCCACACGACAGCCAAGCTTGAATCAACTCCTGCTCCAGTTTGCCCCCATGGCAGGCACGGGACACCTTAAGGCCACAGCCCCTTGCAACTGCCTCAGCTAAGGAGGTTCAGAATATGTGTCACCCCTCACCCTCAAAATCTTTTCTAAGCTTTTCCAGAGGTCGAGCTGAAGATCTCCTGGACTAGGGGCCTCTGCCCGATGCTCCCAGCGTACCTTTACTGTACCACTTGGTAGTTACTTGACAGCTCAACTCTCTACCTAGCCAAGACATCTGGTCCAGATGTGATGATGGGATTACAAAATCAAATATCAGTACCGAGTGCACTTATGAATACCCTTTGCAGGCCATTTCCCAGCCTTCAGCCCTCCAAGTTTAATTGTTATTAGCATGCAACATAAGAATGTGAACAATGAAAACTCCCAGCTGGAGTCCACAGCTGGGCCATCTTCTTCCCCCCGCTTATGCGTTCGGTGCATAAGCGCAAATGACGGTCAGGACCCGTCCCCCGACTTGAGAGCAATCCTCTTGTCCACTGGGCGAAACCCAAACATACAGGCACATTGAGGGCATCTGACATGGACCCCTCTTGAATGCCTCCTAGGTGAGGTTTTTAATGTCCAACTAGGAGGAGATTTGATATATGGAAGAAATTCTCTCAACTGGCTTTGAGAAGAGCAGGTTGCAGAGTAGCGGTTGGATAGCTAATAGAAGAAGGCCTGGGTGTTTCCACCTCGTGCTTAGGAAAAAAGCATGTATTTAACTTTAGAAATATTTGCAAATTATAGAATTTAATGAGATAAATCTCTGAAAAACACCCCACAGCCATGAACAAGACACAAGTAGAAAAGAGGATGATGTTTGATTCAAATGCACTTGATTAACTTATCATCAGTAAGTGCGAACACCTCTATAAAAGCAGAGGTTTTAACAGTTTGCTGGTCTGGAGCATTCAGGTAATGCCAGGATTAAGACAATGCCAGGAGTAGATGTTCCAGCAAATTCACCCAAAGCCCAGACCGTGCAATGCTCAGAGAAACTGCAAAAAACCCAAGAGCTACAACCAAACACACCTTATTAGCACAATACCCTCATACTAACTGTCAAACACCGTGTGGAGGGGTTCTGTTTGTGGTTTGTTTTGCATCCACAGGATCTGGGATCGTTGCAGTCACTGAGTTGACCATGAATTCCTTTTAAGATGTGAGGCCATCTATCCAACAGGTTAAAAATGGTTCATGCAACAATAATCAAAGCACAGCGGCAAATCTACAACATAATTGCTGTGAAATGAAAAGATCAAAGTGCTGCAAAGGCCCAAAGTTCAGCCTGCCTGAAATTCTGTGTGAGCAACGTTCTAAAGAAGATGGGGGCAAAATCGCATAAGAATGATTTTAGAGATAAAATGATGACAAAATCATACAGAAAACTTCAAGGTATTCCTGCTGAAGGCACTTGTACAAGCAGGGCTTGGGTCTCAGTTTAACACAAAGTCTTTCACATGATTCTATAAGGTCCTATATAAATTCCAAGTAATGTCTTATTATGCACCACACCTGACATTTTGCACAGTTCTATGGCGTATTGAGTTTGTCTGAGTAGTGTAGTAAACAGATGTTTGCTTGTTTGGTTGTTTTTTGCCTTGGTGCATGCTTCAAGTTTGGAGTATGGCGCATGTAAAATGTTCAAGTTACAAGGCTTTTGGATATGTTGCATCATTTGCGATTTTATCTGAGCAGGTGTTGTAATAAAAATATTTTAGACTTTGTTACACCCTGATGACTTTATTATGTTATATAGTAAAATAAACCTGCTGTCCCACAGTGAGAACATTTTTCCACAAACCACTTCTAGTGCAAGGAAAACAGGTTGATTTCCAAGAACCTGAAAGAAAACAAGAGTTTGGGTCTCAGGAGTTTAAAGATCAGGCAAAATGTACATAAAAATCTGTGAATTATTCGCTGTATATGTTTTTATTTTTGCAGGAATCAGGAAATCTGGGATGTGCTGTGCTTGGACCCACGTGCACCTATGCTACTTTCCCAATAGTTGAGTAAGTTCTGAATTTTCCAAGGACATGATTCTGCCAATAAGCTTGAAAAGGACACTTCAGATTTTCAAACAGGTTTTGCCTGTGTTGCACTATGCTTATCGTTCACCCGTTTATCATAAATAGTCGATACCATTGTCTCCCTCTCTTTTTTATTCTCTTCTTCCAGTAAGGAAGCCGGCATGAGTCTCAGTAGACCCATTCTCTCAGCGGGAAGCTTTGGTCGCTCGTGCGACTACACCTTCAACTTGCAGCGACTCCTGCCACCTGCACGCAAGATCGCTGACTTTGTCACCCACTTCTGGGAAGAAAACAATGAGCTCAAACCTTCATGGAAGGCAGCGTATATTTATAAAACAACGAACCCCACAGAGGAATGCATTTGGTGAGTAACCCATCTTTAAGGAGAGACTCATCTGTTGTGAGCTATTACAAAATCTAATAAATTATATTTTAAATTATATTCTAGTTAAATTTTTAAATGTAATAAAATGTTTTTAATTTAAATTATGCATTATATTCATTTTCATCTTCAGGTATGTAAGTGCAATTGAAGCGACGGTGGAACCGCTTGCCTTAAATATTTCAATAACGCCTCTACGCAGTCCCACAGAACTGCACAGCGTGATTACATTACGCAACAGGACATCCAACTGTAAGAATTTGATGTATTTTTCTCAAACAAGATTGAAAACCTCTCTGTTTTCACAGCGAGACATAACAATGGCTTCAGTTTGCTGGGACAACACACACGGACAGCTTGGATTCTATTTTCCTAAGAGAGCCCAGGGCCTACAAAGCACATTTAATTCAACTATTGAGTTTGTTAACGCTGTCATCACGAGGGAGACTCGTAATTTTCTGTTTCAGAAGGAGAGCTAGCTCGAGGGCCATAATAGCTTTTCTTTGAACTTCCTGCTGCATATTTTTACGCCACATTATGAAGGGTGAATTAAAAAAACATCAACAGTATCAGGCTATGCTTGATGGCTTTAGGTTTTGGTATTAACTTTGGTTTCAAGGTTGAAGAAGTAATTTAAATGGAAATCAAGTTTGTATTTGAGTCCCAAGGCCAACTAGGCAAAAAAACAGAAGAAAAAAAATAACTGAAAGACTGTTCTGTTACAAATACTTCTCCGCTGCAGTGTTCATCATGTGTGGATCACCAATGGACCTAGTGGAAATTAAAAACGGCTCTAAGGCTGCGGACAGCAGTGATATCGCCTTCATCCTCATTGATCTTTACAGGTTAGTGCTGTTGAATCATTTCACTTCTGTTCCTATTTATTCCACTTGTTTTCTTTTTCTCTAACCCCACAGCAGTGATTCACAATCAGTACTTTCCTAACTGGTGAATGGGTACCTGGAGATTGTAAAGTAGTGACTGACTGATTGAGTGATTTCATGGAGTCAGTTACTGTGTGTCATCATAAGATGAGACTAAGTGTGGGAAGAAGTGAAGAAGCAGACATAGATGAAATAAAAAATTCAATCAGGTCAGCTCGAGCCAACGTAATATTATTTCCATCATCTATGACTGCTCAACCATCCAATGGACACAGTTAAAAAACCTCAGGAGGGGAGAGGAGCAGCAAAGCAGGGAGGGCATCAGTGGCAGCGGCAACAAACATGACATTAAGTCACCATGAAAACTGAAAGTTGGGATGGAGCTGGGTTGCAAAATGGCTTGCAGAGGTAGCGGTTATGGTCAGGCTAAAGCTCCTTTGGGATCCAATGTACTATTACTTGATGCCCTGACTAAACACTTGATGTTTTTTGTCAAAAGCCGCACACAGCAGAAGTAGTAAGCCTAATTCAATTTCTGGAAGAAAGATTTTGGACAAAACTTGCTAAGCTAAGTGGCTAACTTAGCACAAACTAGGCTAAATCTATTGAGTTTTCAACAGTATTATTATTGAATGATAATATCCATCTTTATACCAATTAAAGTCGGTAAAGCATGGTAAGCAAAGATCTAAGTAAACTGTGTGTATAGAGTAGAAATGAGTAACTAAGCAATCAAATGCAGCTAAATTACTGAATATAATAGAATAATATATAATAACTGAATGAAACTGAAGGAAACTTTTGCACATGTAGAATTTTTCATCAGACCTCTGCTGATTCCTCTACACAGTGATGTATACTACACCAACACATCGTCGCTGCCAGAAATGAAGAACGTGTTGGTGCTCACCATGCCGAACACCCGAAGCTACAGAATCAACCCAGACCTTAAAGACAACAACACGGTGAGCAAACCAGAAATACACAACTTCTCTCTTTGCAGTGCTTCTGTAGCAAATACAAAAAAGGTTAGCTCTGATTGGCTGTTTTTGTTCCGCTCACTCTGAATAATCAACTTGTAGGGTTTTAAGGGAAAATAAGGGATTAACAACACAGGACCATGCCAACCAGAAATGGACCTCGGAAGAGTTAATAATAAATGTTCAATGAAATATCATTAAATAACGTCTTCACTGAGTATAAAATATCTAAAATAATTCATCACCTGTGTAGAGAAGGATGCATCTTAGAGCTCCTTCACTCAAATCTAAGGGCTGTACTGAGAAAGTAGTTCCAACCATCTGTCTCTGTCTGTTCCTCTGCAGATGAACGACTACATGGCCGCGTACCATGACGCAGTGCTCTTTATTGGCCAAGTGATGAGAACAATTTCTAAACAAAATCAGTCTCAGCTTCACAGGACGGAATATGTGAATGTAAATTACTTCAGAAACACCAAATTTACTGGTAAGGCAGGTGGAAGATAACAGCGAGGAGGGGGAAGTGCTTGCATACAAGCTGCAAGTATGTGTATTAGCAAATACACAAGGATTTACACAAGTTAGCATTTAATACTTTTTTGGCGGCTGCAGATAGTTGCAGTTAAGCATACTGAGCAAAACAGTAATAGATGCTAAAATTAGCTTGTGAAAAGTGGGAAAACACCATCCACCAAAACACTAATGAGCTGATCTCAGAGCAGACATGGCTACTGTGAGGTCGAACAGGTGGAGGCTGTCAACTGCTATCACTTCTTTGTGTTTTCATTGACACAAAGAGTGTTGGTATAACAGCCCGCAGCTGTAAGCAGCCGGTTGTGAGTGCAAGTTTGACTGAGAGACGCATTAAAGGTTTACAGCTGACACACATGGTGAAATGAAGCGAACAGAAGTTTAAAAACATTTGTGTGATTCTGCTCAGGGATTGCTGGGAATTATACGCTGGACGAGTACGGGGACAGAGACGTGGCTTTCTCAATCATCTACACCACTACTGACAACAAGGTATCTTTTTCTCCCGTTTTCTTTTTTGGCATTTAGCAGTGAATACACGAAGAAAAGATTCAAAATAAAACCTTACTGTGCTGCATCTCTTGCTTCTGGTTTGATGCTAAAATGTGTCTTTTTGTTTTTTTCCACCCCTCTTGTGTCACACCCAGTACGATATTTTATTCACATTTGACACGGAGCACAATAAAACCACAGTGGTGGAGGAGGCTCCTAAGTTCATCTGGGGGAAAAGACTTCCCAATAACACGCCAGACAGCGGTACATCGAAAGACACACACACACACACATACACATGTTTAGCTATATCATTGAGTTCAGTGGGCACAACCTCAAAATATGTCGTAACCTTAATATTTTAAAGATTTATGTTAAGAGAACTTCCTTTTTTGTCCTCTAGAAAGAAGGCATGTCCACCATAATGATTTAGATCTCCACAACAAGGCCTGATCAGTTTGCATCCGCTCAGTCAGGTCGTTTTCAAAGACTTGCACTAATCCAGGTTCCGGTGAATTATATGTAAGGCTTCAGCTGTGGTTTAAGCACCTCTCTGTTTGTGTCCCTGTTTTCATTTAATAAGCATTAATGGTGGGTATGAACAGGAGGAAAAGTTATAGCAACCACAAACTGCTCCACGTACATCAACTTTTGCATGTTTTATATGAAGTGGTTTTATGGCTCAGTTCTTCTTTTGTTTCCTGTAGATGACCTCCTCACAGCCCTATCTGAGATAAGCTTAAATATTATGGCACTTGAACGCTCGGCCCATGTTTATCTTTTGTCCTCTGTGTGTCAGAAGCATCGGCTTGGAACTGAAATGGTGCCTCTTTTTTGTCTTTATTACTGCAGGCCCTGCGATTCGCAACATCATTGTGATTGTGTTGGCTGTTACTGTGGTCGTAGTGGCCACGATCGCCTTTATTTTCTACAGGTATGCCGTAGCACATGGAACATGAGAATAACAGGGAGTTATTAAGTGTGTGGCAGATTTTAATTAAATGTTTGGATTCTCTGCAAAAGGTCATGAATTTACATAAATGATTTTGGCCCCATCATATAATGGCATATATAGTAGTACGGTAGATACACTGCTCCAAAAATTGCAGGAAAACTTTGAAAACACGACAGCTTTTAATGGGAAAAAAATCACAGTGGATATTCACATTGATGGGGACTTGGTAATGTGTTAGGAGTGATAAAGTGCCCCAAAATGTAATGGAAATGTAATGATCAACCTACAAAGGGCTGAATTCAAAGACACTCCAAAAATCAAATTGATCTTGCACAAAAAAGTGGGTTAAAGATCTTCTCCAGGCCTGTCCAGAGTAACTGTCTGTGTCCTGAAATCTCCTCTGTGCTCTTGAGACTGTCTCGGGAGACACAGCAAACCTTTTGTAAATGGCACGTATTAATGTGCCAACATGGAGGAGTTGGACTACCTGACCCCAGAAAAATGCGAAAGTAGTGAAAAAACCATCAGAAAAGATGAAGAGGGAAGAAAATGTCAGCGACCTCCACCTGAAACTGAACTAACCTCCTCTAAACTGACCAGATTAGTGTCCCAGACGTGTAACTGGCTTGATGCTACACTCTGATTAAAAGGTGCAACAATTATCTTTTAGAGCTGTGTATATACGGACTTTCAGGTTACATGAAAAATAATCTGAAAGTCTGTATGTACTATACAGGTTATAGCTCTATTACACTCTCTAAAACATGGACTCATGACATGAAATTTAAATTGAAAGCTGCTTTTCGTGCAACCAACCTTTACCAATAATCTCCTGATGCAGTTTTTTCTTTCCCGCATAGACAGAACAGAAGAGATCGACTGCTCAGGAAGCGCTGGTCCCACGTGAACTCTGATCTCATCACGCTGATGGAAAATGATGACATCAACGTCATCTCCCTTAATGTAAGTGAAAACACCTCAGTAAACACCTCAGTCAAGTCAGCTTTAAGAATGCTGTGACAGCGACCTTCCTCTAACCCCCGTTAGATTGAAAGTAAGAAGAAAAAGAAGTTCAAGATCCGCTGTGCGCTCTACGATAAGAAGGTAGATGGACAGCATCCTGCAGTGTTTTCCAAATCAGTCAGCATCTAGTGCTTTTGCACTGATGAACGTGAGTTAGCAGATGTAATCTGGTTGGTGCTTCTGCAATATTTCTTTCAGATTGTGATCTTGAAGGAGCTGAAGAACTCGGATGGGAACTTTGATAAAACCCAGAAAAGGGAGCTCAATGCGGTAAGACGTCTTATCACACTGAAATCCTTTTACTGCCAGCCCTCTTTGTTAATGTTTATCCAAACTCACTAGCACTCCACATTTTTGCCCAACTGCAGCTATTGCACATCGACTACTACAACCTCACAAAGTTTTACGGCACAGTCAAGTTAGATCACGGTGTCTTTGGCGTGTTTGAGTATGGCGAGCGAGGCTCGCTCAGGGTACGTATAACAAAACTTTCAATTTAAATCCATCTTCAGGTCTCAGTTTAAACACAGCCGTCAAGAAGTGTGAAGAATAAAAGCGTATTAATGCAGAACTGGGGTGTCTTTTTCTTTTTCAAGTATGTGCTGAATGACAAGATTTCATACCCAGAGGAGACCTTCATGGACTGGGAGTTCAAGATCTCTGTCATGTACGACATCGCCAAGGTGAGAGACTTTGCCCGTGAGCAGAACAATTATCAAACTTAAGCATTTGCAAGCATCACATGCAGTGTGTGGCATGATAAGAGACCACACAAGTGGAGATTGACTCGTTACTCGCCGCCCTGAGCGGAAAAACGGTCACGTGTATCTGCCATAAAGCAGCAGCATTCACTAAACACCATAAATCATTACAGAGGACAATGCAATGAATGACAGGATCGGTTTTTGTACTGAGAGCTTGACATAGTTAGTAGCAATCTGTCTTAATACATAACTGAAAAAGGGTTATGAAACTTAGCGTTAGTCAATATTACTCACCATTCATGCAGCGTGACATAAAAGATCCCTGAATAACTGGTAATAAACTTTTGTACCTGATGTAAACTGCAATGGGATCACTTCACCTGTTACCGTATAATAAACTGAACCCAGAACATCATCATCAAAAAGAAAGGAAGGTTCGCTCAATCCTGACACTTATTTCACGTGAATAATAATCGTTTACTAAAACTTTAGAAGTTCTATCAAAAGCCAAACGGACAAACTGAGTGTAATGTGACTGCCAGGATTACACAGCGCTGTGCAAAAGTCCCCTCATGTCTTCATAGTTTGCTTCCAAGGAGCCAGATTTTGTTGCTTTGTTCAAACGACTCTTAAGCAATAGTTTTGCAGGCTTTCTGAAAATCTTTTAAAGTTTTTATTTAGACATTGGCTGCTTTTTCACTCATTTTATGTCCAGTAGACTATGCAAGCATAAAAAAGGGATGAACCAGTGTTGTATCTACACATAACAAACAACTTTGCAAAGAACCCATTTTTAAACTCTAAGTATAAAGAAAATGGATTTATAGTTTCAATAAGAAGTACATATAGTGAAGAGGCCTCCTTATCTGTAACAACTGTGATCAAAACAAAGCCATTAAAAGACTGTGCCTCTAAAGTTTGATCAGTTTGATTGATGTCACAGTGCGATAAACAACTTGGCAACTTACCAGAAAGACTCAATATTATCCCACTAGTTAATAATTAAATGATTAAACATTTAAAATGTAACATTTAAGTGTTGGTGAGGTTTTTTGTTCTAAGCTTGTTGTTTGATAAGTCAGACCCTGTGAAGGCACAGTAAGCTTTTATATAAGTATTTTTTTCTGGCTCAAAATTATTAAAAAGGTTTGGTTTAAATGAAGAGCAGGATTACACAGGTCTGCAACCAAAAGGTGCATAGGATCTTTTCACTGCTTCTCATAGATTTTTACTCACTGAAACGAGGAAAAATATTTTAAAAATTCAATTTTGTCAGGTTTTCTTAATTCATGTTTTTAGTTTAATGTAAACTCTTCATGTTTTGCAAAAGCAAACTGTATGTAATGGAGGGAAATGGAGGTCATTTTTGGATTCAGCACCCTAAAAAAACATAACATTTACCAAAAATATCCCATGCGACTGAAAAAATAAATTGTTTTTGCAGACCTGTGTTATGGGAGCTGCTGTTGCACTTGCCTCTGCCTGCCAGCAGAGGTCATTAAACACCAGATTACTCACCGCCTCTTTGATTTTCCATAAATCTCATTACTTCCACCAGTGGAAGGTGTAATGTTGCTCTGAATCCTCTGTGCAGGGCATGTCTTACCTCCATGCCAGTGACATTCAGGTTCACGGTCGCCTCAAATCCACCAACTGTGTGGTGGACAACCGCATGGTGGTGAAGATCACAGACTTTGGCTGCAATGCTTTTCTTAGCCCCTTCCAAGGTGACGCCGCAAACAAAAATCCTCCTGAAATATCTTTTTGTTCTCTTCTTTACCTGCTAATGTTTGTCTCTCTCCACATCATCCTGTCAGACTTGTGGACAGCTCCGGAGCATCTGAGGAACGAGGGCACGTCTCAGAAAGGAGACGTCTACAGTTTTGCCATCATTGCGCAAGAGATTGTTCTCAGGAAGAACACCTTCTACACTGAATCCTGCTCCGACCGATCAGGTTTCCAACACTCAAATACAACACGTGACAGTTACAGTCATTTTGTTTGCAAATGATCATCTCTGCACCACCAAGTTCAGAGTGAAAGAAAGAAGACCTGTTTGATCCGGAGCTACACTACAATGCCATCTGCGTCTCTGTGCGTTTCTCAACAGAAAAACTGTCCAGGCTCAAGTCATCCTACTTCAGACCTGATCTTAACTTTGAGACGGCTTCAGAGAAAGAATTAGAGGTTTTTTTTTTCCATTCATGTGCCAGCTTTATTTTATTTTCAGCATCTGTTTTGTCTGTATTGTATTCAAATTGTTCTTTCCTCCTGTAAGGTGTACGCGTTGATAAAAAGCTGCTGGGACGAGGACCCAGAAAAAAGACCTGACTTTAAGAAAGTGGAAATTTATCTGGGGAAAATCATCAGGTAATAATGCTCTCTTTATGTTATTGCTGTTTTCAGCTATCAGTGTGCATGTCCTGGTGTAGCCTTTATAGTTTCTGGGAAACGGATTACAGGTTTCTAAATATATCTCCCTCCTCATATCCCTTTTCTTCTCCTCTTCATCACTCCAGTAAAATCCATAATCAGGAAAATGAGAGCTACTTGGATAACATGATCAGACGGCTGCAGATGTATTCCAGAAACCTGGAGTACCTGGTGGAAGAGAGAACGGCCCTCTACAAAGCTGAGAGGGATCGAGCTGACAATCTTAACTTTATGCTGCTGCCTGGGTTTGTTTACACTTAAAGAAGAAATGCACATCATTAGACACTTAGAACAATCAGGACATAGATGCTAAATCATTCATGCACTGTTAGAGAATTTGTTTTATTTCTACATTAACAGTGACCAGCACTGAGTTTCAGTGGTTAGCACTGTCACCTTAAAGCAAGAAGGTCACCCCTTGCCTACGTTGGTTTTCTCTACGTTGGCTTGGTTTCTTCTCAGAGTTCAAAGACATCCATGTTAAGTTTATTGGTGATTCTAAATTAGGTGTAAATGTGATTGGCCGTGTATGTACCGGTACTATGCCTCCAAAAACAAGTCAAAATTTGAAGAAGAAATATGCTAAACCTGCTAAGTGGCTGTAAAAGTTCAGCTAAGCATAAATTGTTGGATTGAATATTTTTAATGGGTAGTATACATTTACAGCTATATAATTTTTAAAAGTGAATATAAATTTGAGTTTAAACAGCATAAACTATTGGATTAAATAGTTGAAATAGATAAGTTATTAGTTACAGTATATAGTTTAAAAAGCTAGCATAAATTAATGACAATAAATGATTAGAAAGGTTACTTTAAATTGTTTGACTGAATTGTTAAAATAAGTTTTGTAAACTGACGGTTAAAGCGTTTTAAAAGTTAGCATAAACTACTGGATTAAATATTTTAAATAGGTAAATTAGTGGTTAAATAATGTTTTCAGAGTCTCCTGCATGGGGTGGGAGATGACAGCTTAGCCACCATTGTCCTGTCACTCACCACCTCCACTGGGTCCATCCTAGAACAGAGCTGGCCCTGCGGATCAGCCTGTTCAGTCTCTTCCTGTCCCCGGCAGAGATGCTGCCACCCCAGCAGACCACACTGTAAAAGATGGCTGAAGCCACCACAGAGTCATAGAAGGTCTTCTGGAGTGGGCCCTCCACTCCAGAAGACCTGAGACTCCGCAGCAGGTACAGCCTGCTCTGCCCTTTCCTGTAGAGGGCGTCTGAGTTATGAGTCCAGTCCAGTTTATTGTTCAGATAAACACCAAGGTACCTGAAGCTGTCAACATTGCATTTTATTCTGTTGTATATAGTATTTTATTCTATTCTATTGTGTACAGTATCTTATTTTATTATCTTATCCTATTCCAGTGTTTTTTCTTAATTTTTGCTTCTGTAACTTTGCACTGTCCACTTTCTGCTGTAAAAAAAAAGAAAAAACAGTGGGACTAATGGAGGTTATCTTATGTTAAAAAATTAGCATTAATGAATGGCTATAAATGGTTAAAAAGTTACCATACATTGTTGAATAAAACTGTTAAATGAATAGTTAATACAAACTGACTAATAAACGGCCTAGTCTAATAGTAACCCTATTAATTAAAAGCTAAATAGTTTTTAAAAAACTAACACAAATTAATGGTTAAATAGTTAATAAATTAGCATACATTTGTCTCTTTAAATGGTTAGAAATGTTACCTTAATTATGAGTAAATAATTGAAATAATTAGTGTTAATTAATGATCAAAACGTTAGTGTAAATTAACAGTTAAATGGTTGTAACAAGTAGCATTATTGAACTGTTTAAAAAGGATAGTTATTTAAAAATAAAGGATACATGGATGAAATGGATGGATGAACGGTTGGGGAAACTTGGGGGGGCCTTTGGTTTAACCAACTCAAAATCAGAATGAAATCTCAATGGAAAAAATGTCTTTTCTTTATTATGTTTCTCTCTGTGGTTAAAAGGCCGGTGGTTAAAAGCCTGAAGGAGACCGGGGCTGTGGAGCCAGAGCTGTACGATGAAGTTACAATATATTTCAGTGACATAGTTGGATTCACCACTCTGTGCCAGTACAGCACGCCGATGGAAGTTGTGGACATGCTTAACGACATCTACAAGGGGTTTGACAGCATCGTCGACCACCACGATGTGTACAAGGTATTGGCAGGGATGAAACCGAAGAGATTCAGGCACCCAGCAATGAGCACGAACATCATGGTTTCCTTTACTATCCTCAGGTGGAGACAATAGGGGATGCCTACATGGTTGCTTCTGGTCTTCCAAAGAGAAACGGGAACAGGCATGCAGTGGATATTTGCCGCATGGCGCTGGACATCTTGGCATTCATGGGCACCTTCCAGCTCCGGCATCTTCCCGGTATTCCTGTGTGGATACGAATCGGTGTACACTCAGGTCGCTTCTTCTTTGTTTTTCATTTTTTAAACTAGTCATTTTGGCAAAGCAATTCACCTCCTGCTGATCTTTACACTAATTCTTCTGTCTCCTGGTTGTTTGTGGGTTCAGGTCCCTGTGCGGCGGGCATCGTGGGAATAAAGATGCCCAGATATTGTTTATTCGGAGACACGGTCAACACAGCATCTCGTATGGAATCTACAGGACACCGTGAGTGGACACATGTAATGAACAAACTGATTTACACTGACATTTTCTCCAGCCGCTTCCTTTGTTCTCGTTATTTTACACGAATGACTTCCCGTACATTACTCTAGCGCAATTATAGAAGCCAGCAGTCAGCCTAATTAAATAAAGTGACCACAGCCAAGCTCTGTTGTCTTTCTTTTTATCTCACAGCCCTGCGGATCCATGTCAGTCAGCCTACCATAGATATCCTGGAGAGAACAAACTGCAAGTTTGAGTATGAGATGAGAGGGGAAACATACCTGAAGGTAAAGGTTGGTCTCTACATTCAATGTAGCAGCATGTCAGCCAAATTAAATTGAGATACAGTGACAAAAATCTTCACTGCGACACTGATGCCAGTGACTGTGATGAATATGTGGGGGTTTTTTTTAGGGTAAAGGCACAGAAACAACTTACTGGTTGACAGGTGAAACTGGTGAAGACTACGATCTTCCTACTCCACCCACAACGTGAGCAAAAAGGAGATAAAATCCTTTCACATGCAGCTCCGCATCTGAGATTCACTCTTTCAACATGGTGCTTTCTCTTCCAGTGAAAACGTCCAGCGGCTCCAGCAGGACCTCGCCCACATGACCTTGACATGTTTGGAGCGTCGCTCGCGAGCTTCCGTGCGAAGGAAGAAGCTGCTACCAAGTCAGAGCAAGGAGGACACCAGCGACCAGGGGTCAGAGGTCGAGTCTGAGAGCAGCCTTCCAGAGTACCTGCATCTAGCCACTGTGGATAACACACTCAGTACCTTCCTGTAGAGCATGCTGTAACTATTTGCCTGTTATTGCATATAGAGCAGGGAATCAAGCATAGAAAAATGAGGAATTAAAAGTCCTGCGTCTAAAGACCTCAAATATTCACGCATTATTTCCTGCCATCATTTTGGGTGGTTGGAAACGGCGGGTGGAAACTTTGTACTATGTAATTGATGTTATTTTTTACCCACTCAAGTGTCATAGCTGAAAGCCAAAACCTTAGATTTGTTCAGTGCAGATTTTTTTCTATAACCGGTTGGGGGGTTTTGTTATCCTCCGTCAAAAGAAAAACGGTCAAAAAGGGCATTTTAGGCCAACTTTGAAGGTCAGGTACTCTGCTAAAACAAGATTTAGCATATTTAAAGATTCATTTTTATCCAAATGTTGATTCCAGGCTCAGCTTCTAGCTCTTTTTCCTTTTATGCCAAAATTATTTTTTGCTACATCTGTATTTTTACACCTGTGAATGTGTAATAATATGGTTCGGAAATTGATCTACATACATCTATAAAATAGTGTGGAAACCCAAACTGAAGTTATGAGAAAAATAAAGAATAATTAAATAAATAAATAAATAAAAGCACAAAATTTCAGCACCAGTTATATCACAAAAAACAAACAAACCCAAACACAGCTGATGCTCATGTGGTCAGGTGGCAGCGCTTTTGGATTTGATTCACTTACTATGGAATGAGCCAGCCGCAGCACCCTCGCATGCCAGTGCAGATGCTGCTAATGGCCTGTTCAACTAACAAAACACAGGAACACGATAAGAACAGAAGAGGCCGTTTTGCACAGACAGAAATGCAGGTTCGCCCTTTTTGTGCATTGTACAGTTTGGAAAAGGTTTTAGAACTACAGTAATACATTTGTATTTGTAATATATCCTGTTGTTTTTGTCATTAATGTTCATTGATTGTTTCTGCTGCTTAGCTTAAAACTGGGTTATTCCATTTATGTACAGCGCTTAATGTGTATTTGTTTCCACATTTGTCAGCCAGTAGGTAAATTATAGGTCTCATAAATATCTATAGACAATGCTTATAAAAGTCACAACTCAGCACCATCTGCATTTATTACTTTAACCAAATGACGGCCAGTTTTTGACTCCGTATACATCTCATGTCATGCAGAGGAGGCTGTATTGAGGAAGCTCAGGGAGGAAGATGCTGCACTGCAGGCCCTTGAAAAAGTGCCTTTGTTATTGTATAGAGCAGCGGTCCCCAACCTTTTTTGCACCACGGACCGGTTTAATGTCTGACAGTATTTTCTCGGAGCGGCCTTTAAGGTGTTGCAGATAAATACAACAAAATAAAATGATACGACCAAGACAAAAAATGTGGTATTTTGTAAACACAATAATGAAAGCGAAGTCACTGTGTAATTGTGTAACTTTATTAGCAGCGTCCTCCTGAAATGCGCCGCAACAGAGTAACATCAGTCGTGTCCAAATTCATGGGCTGCATCCTCCTGAGGACCCGGCCTTCGCGGTCTACGTAGGCCGGGTCCTCAGGAGGTCGGGTAGGCCGGAAGTAAACTGCTGTGAAATTGGACGGTCTAGCCTTCTGATTAGCGTCACTGCTGTGTCGGTGGGGTTTAATAAACTCAGCTGTCTGCTCCTTGCTATCTAAAATATAACAGGACACTGGCGTAAATTCTCGACCATTTCACACTTCTGTTTAATCAGTTTTCTGTTTGACGTTTATTAATCGCCCGGGTGGGTTCCTCCTTGGTGTTCACACAGCTGAATAAAGTTTTATTTTATCTAATCTAATAACTTTAATCTCAGCCAAACCGATTTACTCGCGAACAAATAAAACACTGAAAAAAGCCAAACAATAACATTTTTAGGTCGTCTAAGTGACTTATTTATTACGTTTAACCTGAGTAGCGAAAGCCCGCGGTGATCTGAAACTAATGTGCCGGGAGTTGTGCCATTCTCGGCGGCTCTAGTGATCCTCGAGCTCTCGGCTAGCTATCGAGCTGGTGGGTAACAGACGTCTCCGAAAACGTCGAAGCACTTTTGCAAATATGCGAAATCTTGATAAACCGAGCAGATATTTGAATTTCTCGCCTGAAAATATGTTAAAAGTTTATTTTGTGACCCAGAAAGATTAATAAGAGTAATTTTAAAACTTAGTAGCAGCCACGAACTGGAGTTTGGCTGGGCCGTGCTATGAATTCTGGGATATGGTGGGCCACGAAGAACACACCCGACACATCCGTGAAAAGGAGGACGCATTTGTCGGCTACATTCGGAGAGTCAACGAATTTGGACAGCCTTCGACGCGTCGCTGTGACTTAATCGGTCTACAAATGCGGCCCATGAATTTGGACACTCTGGTCGCTATGGTAACGCATAAAAACATGTCTTTCAAAATAAGACAACTACAAAACAAATATAAAGTGCATGAAAATATATAGAAAATGTATTCATAACACAAGGGAAAAGACCCAGGGAAACCGAAACTCCTGAGCCTCAACTCTCACTCGTGGACCGGTGGGCCCGGGGGCTAGGGACCGCTGGTATAGAAAGCAGTGCACAGTGGGCTCATTGTGATCAGGGCAAAAAACAAAACAAAGACTTTGTACCTTAAACCAAATGTTTATTTTTGTTGACAATGCTGACATTCATTTACATTAAATTTAAAAAAACAAAAACAAAAAAAAAAAACAGTACATTTTCCTTTCACTCTGTTGAAGATGTCATATGTTCAGGACCGCATGAAGTCCAGTTTTGAAACTATCCAAACACTGATTCCTGAAGCCCGTACGATTCATGCGTCACACATGGGTCCGTTTCATGCTCACAGACAGTAAAGTGGCTCTACAGACAGCAGATGAAAGAATCTCCAGCATCAGAGAGAAATGTTTTTCTATCCCGATTTGATGATGACAGATGTTTGGTTTTTTTTGCACAGGCTAATGAAAGAGCTCTGCTGTGTTTACACATTAAGTACTAATTGTACAGCAAAAATGAAGTGAGGGATCAAGCAAAAAAACAAACAGGGTACTGTAACAGGACATGCAAATGGAGGTTTATACATTTAAGTGAGCCAAGACGAAAAACTTGGAATCAGTAAACCTGCTGATTATACAGTATGTGCTGTTTGAGATCGTCAGGACAGTGAAACAGAAACACTATTCTTCAAGTAGAAACGAGCAAAAGTACCCCCCCACACGCATCTAAAAACAAACGGCCAAATTCTTACAATGTAATATTCAAAAAGAAAGTCTAAGAATAAATTAGACATCAAAACTTACAAAACAATTAAAAAAAGGTGGTGCTTTTTATACAAAACATCTTAAACCAGCTTCACCTCATGCATGCAGCTGTTTGGTGTGCACACTTACTCTTTATCTCTACAGGAACACCTCAGTAAATGCACGAGAAGACAAAGTAAAAACAAAAAGTGAGATTGTAAACCATCTACTGTAAAATATTAAAAGCAGCCACTTAAAAACACATGGAATAACAGCTACGATCATGCTGACATGTCTGTTTTGCTGCTTGAACTCAAGGCACTGAATGATCCGAGTAAAAAGCCACAAAGAGAAGAGGGGAAAAAAAAAAAAAAAGCTGAAGAAATGAAATCTTTTGGTCTTCTCTGTTCTGTCAATATCACTGTTATGAGTATCGTACGCAGTAACTGCAGGCTAACTACACATTTAACATTTACAGTGTTCTGCTAATCCTCCTAATTAGGGATCGGGAGGATCCCACAGGTTAAGGATGTTTTCTGATCAGTGCTATAAATGGAAAACAAACATGGAATATTGTATTTACATCCCATTTATTTATTTTTTTTATGTTAAATTGATTTTATTATCAAAATGTTAGGAGATAGAGGGGAAGGGAAAAAAAAAAAAAAAAAAAAAAAAAGTTGCCTACCACGATCTTATTTCTCGATTGTCTCAAATTTGTGACCCCTGCACACTTGTTGGCTGTGTGTTGCTGGTCAGTAGGTGTGCTGTAGGAGCTAAACAGCAGGAGGTGAGACTAAAGCTGCAGGCAGACGATGCTTAACACGGCTGCTGTAGTCTCAGAGGCAGAAATAATCCCTCTGGGCTTGCGTTCAATCTGAGAAGCGCACCAAATCTTAATTTGAGGCTGAAAACAGACCAATAACTTACATCACTTACTCCACAAATGTACTTATTTATGCATCCAAGAAGTGCTGAGTTGCATTTTAATGTTAGCATCTGTTCAAGTAAGTGTTTTCTTATAAGCTACAGCGTGATGTTGGACTATAGCAGACCTACTCTAAATTCTTATCTACATGCTTTAAAAACCTGCTGTTTTATAACTAATGTATAACCCTTTTGGTTTCACCCTAACATTCACTAAGTGCACCTCCTGAAATTTAATAAACACCAAATGTGAGTGGTGTATTTGCAGAGTGATGCCTAGAGCTATAAGGAAATTGGCCACAGTCTCGTGCATGAGTCCAAATGTGATCTGTGGTGTGGTTCTTGCATGTTCACAGCAGAGGTTGTTAAAAGTCACGTGGCTTTCTTTGACATTTTATTTTCAGTCATACACCTGCACTGCAGCAGATCTGCTTGCTGTGGGGCCTTTATTGGAACTAAAAACAGGATATGATCACTAATATTACAAAGCTGAGGTACACCAGACTCATCCTTGCCCCCTTCCTCCTCCATGCCTGCTTTTTAAGCCTTTCCTGACTACACCAACGTCTCCAAGTCTGTTGAGGCCAAAGCAGGAACTGGATCCCAGCCATGGCAACAGACCGAAGCAACACTGCTGTTGTGCAAGGTGATGCAGGTATGCATCAGCACAAACAAGGGATATATGTGTATACGCGCGCATGTGTGTGTGTGTCTGTGGGCAACAATGTAGAGCAGTTTGTGTTTTCACCAGTGCAGCGTGTGCACCTTTGTAATGTCCAGAAAGTGTAAAATTGTCCCCACAAGCACATTTTTGACCTACTTCAGTTACACAGTCCAAACCAAGAAGTGGCTATGCTAACACACAAACACACACCCTCCTGAATGACTGAGAGCAACAAATTAGTGGACTTTGAGTTGAGC